GCATTGAACCTCGCGTGCAGGGTTACTCAAAATAAAAGTTATTTTTTTTGTCTAATGAGAATATATACCTGCGTGGTAGATCGCAAATCTGCAAACATATAACTTGTACTGCGGCTGTGAAAAATAAATATCTGCATCAAAACCTGGTCGTGTTACTAAATTAATGGTTTTGGGAAGAACTTGATCCTCGAGCGTTGGAAGAGCATCAGAGAAGCGTCAGACATGGCTAAGGCTGCGAGAGTTGGTAGTTGAGGTGTATGCGAAGCCAAGTGAGATTGCGTCGGTGGTACCGTGTAACGGAATACGTATCCCCAAGTGTACCCCTAGTTACATGGCGTGTGACACGTCATACTTCGGGATATTTGGTACAAAGTACCAAGGTCGTCCAAAGCCAACCATTGGCTGATGAGATTGCTTTTCTAAAGGTGGCTTATAGTTTGTATTTGACCCAAGCTTTATCTACCTATAAATATACCCAGTTTACATTCTACCTTAAAAAGGTCACTTCGCTCCCTTTTGATAAAAGGGGACCTGTGAACTGCCGTTCACTAAGGGTTTGTATACTGTCGGAAGCTAACTTCCTCTAGCGCAAGGTGCTGTGTGACCCCGTCACACTTGGTAGCACTCGTAGTCAATCCACGCCACCGTGGGTAGACTACCTGAACCTCTCGTAAGTTCGTTGCCATGGATAGGAAGGACTTCTCCCATATGAACGACTCACAGTTCGAGTCGGTTCGGAAGATGGCAGGCATCTTCGATATAGAGGCCCTGCAGAGCCTGGTGGTGTCAACACCGGCCGAGCAGCTCGAGCGCATCAGTGTGTTTGACGCGTACGGGCAGGGGCTCATCGCGCATGTGCGGGAATACCCTGCAGGCTCCGGCGGCGGAAGCAAATCCACCACATTCGAAGCCAATACGGCTGAAGGTTAAGCCGTATGAAAGAAAGGAAAGCGAGAACCTTCACTTGTGGGTCCGAGAAGTAGAGCTCGCTATGGACGCGGCTCTGATCTCGACCGAGCAACTTCGTGTTGCTTTTGCACTCTCCAACCTTAGCGGCCGTGCTAAGCGTTGGTTGTACACACGGGAGGCAACATCCCCTGGATGTTTCACATCCTGGACTCAGCTGTGCAGGCAACTCCGAGCCGCGTTCCTTCCGGCGAACTACGAGTACCGACAGCGCTCGCGCTCTCTCTCGTGCAAATAAGGGAGGCGTGAGCTACACGAGTAAGTCCGAGAGATACGGGAGCTCACGGCGTCCCTAGTGGCAAACCCACTCAGCGAACACATCAAGATGACTGTGCTCATGGACGGCCTTCGAGTGGGCCCCGCGCGCACTCAGCTGTTCCGGGTGCAGTCAAGCATCCTTAAAGAGGCGATTCAAGTGGCTCTTCAGGAAGTGTACAGCCATCGCCAGGCGCGTACGCCGGCCTCAGCGTGGCCTGGGAGTTCCTTGTCGACTCCCGGTCAAGCTCCACCGGACCAGTTCCCATGGAATCCGGGTCCGCCAAACAGCGTGATATTCGCTGCTTCGGCTGCGGGAAGATGGGCCACCTCAAGCGCGATGGTCCCGCAGAAACACTCAACAGACGGTCTTTCCCCAAGCCCGTCCTTAAGGGTCGCTAGCAAAAGCCAGGATCCCGGGGACAGGGGAACGCCGGGAACCAGTAGGAGCGGGGCGCCCTACTCGGGAAGAACTAAGTTTTCGGGAAGGGTGCGCAGGTGGCGCGTACCAAATCTTGATCGGTTCTGGGACGTCAAGGTATTTCGCACGCCGCCAGACGGTCGCTCGTAATAGCAACAAGCTGTCCGATACTTTGAGAGAAATCAAGGGCAACGGGACAGTGTCAGTGCGACTGGCCGACGGGAAGGTCGTCACTGCCTCCAACGTCCAAGTGGATCTGGCCGTCAAGTTTGAAGACTTTGACAGCCTCGAACATCTCACTGTTCTCGACATGGATCCATATGATATGACCCTGGGCATGCCCTGGCTTGAGAAGCACGAGCCCTGGATCGACTGGCGAGGCAAGGCAATCGGAGCCAGCCGCCCTGCGCAGTCCGACAGAGCATTAATGAGTCATGTACTCACCTCTGTCAGGACCCGGGGCGCCCGCAAGGGTTGCCAGGGTACCAAAGCATCCGGCAGATGCTTGGGAGTCGTCGACGTATATGACGACTCCGAGGATGTTTTGATGGCGGCAGCGCCCAGAGGAGGCGCTGACCAAGTGGGTAACTTAGGTCCACAAGCGGGTAACTTAGTTCCGCAGACAGTTGCAGCTGTCCCGAACACAGACAATAGCGTGTTCAGGGTGGGTAAAAGAGTTCCACACACGGTCGCCCAGACCTTGACCGAAGGGGAAGGTGTCGAATACGCTTCCTGTGTGGGTACCACAGTACCCCACGAGGCCACGAGTGCCTCGGATGTCGGCGCTCCGACATCCCCAGACGTGGGTAGCAAAGCTCCACGCCACGGTCGCCGTCGACGACGTCGCTTCAAGCAACTCGGAGTCCAGGGCCCGGGTTCCTCCGACAAGGCCGGTGGAAGAGTGTTATTAAATCTTCGATGGCGAGACCGGTTTACCCGTCAAGATATCTACTGTCCACTTGGAACCGTTTCCAGAGGTCGCAGAGATACGGAACCTCGAGCTAATGACGGTCGAGTCTTTCCTGGCCAGCCTCAAGGCTGAAACGTCTGCCGAGATGGTACTCATGAGACCTGAGACAAAAAAAAACTCGGGGGGAGCTGAACTCCTCCTCCGTTTTGGACGAGAACGTCCTGGAAGACCTGAACAGGCAGCGTCAGGCGCGCTTGGGTTCTGAGATTCTTAAAAACCCCAAGGATCCGGTGTATCCTTTGGTGACGGAGTATGCGGACGCGGTGAACAAACACCCACCGACCCAACTCCCACCGGATCGAGGCGTACGGCAAGAGATTGATCTCGTTCCCGGCACAAAGTATTGTGTTACGAGGCAATGGCCTCTCCCGCGCGAACAGTGCGAGGTCATTGATGCCTTCTTCGCCGCGAAAGCGAAGGCAGGCATGGTGCGGGAGTCGAAATCCCCGCACTCGACGCCGACTTTCTGCGTTCGTAAGCCGAACGGAAAGTGGCGTCTGGTTCACGCTTATAACAAGCTGAACAACGCAACGGTGCCGGCCCAAACAACAATCCCACGAAAGGATGTGTTGTTGAACAACATGGCCGGGAGCGTACTGTACAGTGCGCTGGATTTGGTAGACGGATACTACCGGATCCTGATGCGAGAGAGTGACATCCCGCTCACCGCGGCGAGCACTCCAAGCGGCATGCTTTGGGAGTGGCTCGTCATGCCGCAGGGTTTGTCTAACGCCCTGGCGACGTTGAATCGCCTGGTGACGCAACTGTTCCGCCCTTTGCGTACCTTCGTACAAACGTACTTCGACAACATATTCGTCCATAGCCGTGCCGAGGGAGGCAAGACGGCCATGGAGGTGCGTCTAGGACACCTCCGTCGAGTGTTGGACGTAATGCGAGCAAACAAGCTCTACGCCAACATCGACAAGTGCGTTTTCGCGTCACCAGATATTAAAGCTCTTGGTTGCTTCGTAAGCAACGTGGGCGTTCGGGCTGACCCAGACAAGGTCAAGGCCATAGCAGCATGGCTAACGCCCCGATCCCAGAAGGATCTTCGAAAGTGGTTGGGCTTGGCCAGCTACCTTCAAACGTACAGCGCGGGGTACGCGGGCTTTGCTAAGCCCTTGTCGGGCCTCCTTCAGAAGGACGTCGACTGGCACTGGGAGCAAGAGCACCAGGATGCCTTTGACAGCATCAAGGCCAGTCTCCACGAGGCCCCTGTCCTGGCCCTGCCGGACGAGACGAAGCATTTTAGCGTCGTCTGCACTGCCTCCGATTACGCCATCGGGTGTGCCTTGCTGCAGGCCGACACGGCTGGACACGAACGAGTCATCTCGTTCCAGGCCAGGCAGCTCAAAACCGCCAAACGGGACTACCCTGTCCACGACAAGGAGCTCCTGGCAACGAAGTATGCCCTTGTGAAGTTTGGTGTTCACCTTCTGGGCTCTCGGCCCATCGTGATCTACACAGTCCACGCATCCTGGAGGATGGCGACAAATTCGCCTCACCTCTCCCAAAGGATGGCGAGGTGGCTATCCTTCTTCGCAAAGTAAACTCCCGCATCGAGTACAAGTCGGGCAAGCTCAACGTGCTTGCGGACGCCCTCTCTCGGCGTCCTGACTTCGAGTTGGCCCACATCACACGGGTGACAACGGATCTATATGATCGGATACGCATGGCGTATCGGGACGATGAGGCTGTCGCGCCTATCATTAAGCTCATTAAGGCAGGAACGAGCGCGAAATCCGACTGGATTTCGTCGCGACAGCGCTCCCAGCTCCACCGATATGAGTTGAAGGATGGCCTCCTCTATTACCGAATAGAGCCCAATGAACCTCCGCGGCTGGTCGTACCCAGCGATGAGGATCTGAAGTTCGATATCCTCGCGGAGATGCACGACGCGCCCTCCAGTGGCCACTTGGGCCGCAAGATGACCTTTCGGTCGGTCTCTCAGGTCTTCTGGTGGGCCCACATGTACAAGTGGGTCGCCCGATACGTGAAAAAACATGTGAAACATGTCAGCGGGTCAAATCCGCAGGGAACGCTTCGGCTCCACTACAGAGCCTGTATGTCACGGAACTAATCCGTTCCGCGAAGCTTAAGCAGCTGCGAAACTACCCGGTAAGAGATATCGAAACGACTTTGCAAAAAGACGGAAACCACTACAGCGACTCTTGGTAGCAAGCGACCCTCGAGAGTCGACGAAAGACAAACTAAAACAAAATACACTTTGAATTATTCGATCTACAACGCAAGTCCTCGCCGACAACGTCTACAAACTAATTCTCGCCAGGTTGGAGTCCCCTCAAAGTCCTCCGCCCGATTCCAACTCTACGCTTCTTCCTACCGCTTTGTGGTGTCCCGAAACGTAGGTCTCATTCGGACGAGAATCTACCATATTTGCAACATAGTAGACCTTGAAGTAGAAGGCAACAAGATGAGCGACGTCGGAAGTGTATTCGAAGAAGCGGGAGACACTTGCCCACTTGACGCCGACGAGATAGATCGACTTCGGCTGGTCTTGTCAAATCTAGAAGCGCTAGAACAAACACTACACACGCTGACACGAGACCAAACAAGTATGACCGAAGCTGTTGCGGTATTCGCTACGCGACCCGAACAACGACAGAGCCAAAACATGGAACAAATTAAGGCAAACCAGGCCTTGCTTCATTAGGTGGTTAACCAGATTCAGAGTTTCGCAACTAGAAGTGATGAAGAAATGGCCAAGCAAAGAGCCGACTTGGCCTCGCTAGGAAGAGAAATGGATGCACTACGACAAGGCATTCAAATACAAAAACCCACCTCGCAGAACGTCGATCTATCAGTTAACAACCGCAAGTACATGAACGAATAAGAACTGTATGTAGAGTGGGATGTTGTGGGATCAAGTCCGCCCAACGCACCCAGTTTCACCAATCTGGAGCTAGAAAGTCGAGTATCAATGAAGCAAAAAGAAACACCGGTGTATGGTGGTACTGACGACGACAAACTCCGACGTGTACGTGCTCAACATGATATCGTGGTACGCAGCATACGGTCTTTACTTGAGTCAAGATTAAGTCGATTGGCGTGTTGGTGAGCTCATGTTAAACCATACAAAAGGGACCGCAAAGAAGTGGCTCCTGCAAGACTCTAAGGGCGAACGACGCTTGAGTCGTATTGTACAAAATATGAAGCAGCGATTTGTGACCCGATACCCAGAAGAAGACCTTGTTGTGAACTTCTTCGATTGCGACCAAGGAAGTAAATCTTTGGATACATATATCGACGAATTTCAGCGTATGAGTCGCAGCAATGATGTATCCGAAAAGTACAAGATGATTAAATTCAAAAAGGGCCTGCGCTCGAACCAGATAAGGGAACTCCTTAAGACCCAGATACACGAGTCACTGGACGAACTGTTCGATGCGGCCCGATCATTTAACCCTCGCGATGTACCAGCTGAAAAACCGACTGGAAGCCAGAACCCTTATCCGGGTTCAAACAAAAAAGCTATTGCTTTCAAAAATAAGAGCAATGAGCTCGGTAAATGTGGCTCGTCTCGGTGTCTCGAGAAGGGACATACAGAAGACAAGTGTTGGATGATGCATCCGGAGCTGCGTCCGGCATGGTTTAAAGATGGAGGAGAAAAGCGACTCGGAGCTGCATCAGCAGTGGTCGCACATTGTAACTTGGCTACGACAAGCGACAACGACAAAATGTGGGAAGTGTTAAATGCTATTCAGACGGACCTTGCCAAGATCAAGTCTGCTTTAAACTAACGGGTCTTGAAGATGGTGTCTCAAGACCGAACATAGCCAGCACCAATGCCCAGAATCGCGTCTTTGATCCTGGCATAAAGGCCAATTACATGTACTTCCAGTCTGGAAACGAAGAAAATAAGTTAGCACCTGAGCGCTATCTGATTAAGACGGTACGCTGCGAGAAAGATACGATATCCGCGGCAGCTCGAGCATTTTGGACGAGGGAGCTAATTTTTGTGGAATTTCAGAGAAATTCGTGGAGCAGCAGGGTGGATGAAGGGGTTGTCGATCATGGCGCAATGCAAGTAGCTTAAGCTAACGGGAAGACCGAGTCTGTGTGTCAGCGAACCATTCAACTAACTGTCTTTGTGGAGAATTACCAGCGTTTAAGCTCGAGTTTTACCTGTGTCATATCCCAAATCAGTGTGACGTCATGCTAGGAGTGCCATGGAAGCGGCTTGCGAGACCCATTATCGACTGGGAAACTGATCGAGTACTCTCTAGAGAAGCATTCATTTTAAGAGGTAACACCAGGGACTGCTGCATGGACAGCACCAAAGGCCCCAGGTCCACCAACGACCTGTTTGCCGATAAAGGCGATATTACTACAGCACGCGTTTCGGATTCACAAAACATATCATGCTGAAACAGGCGGACAAATTCATCCGAAAAAAAGATGTCGAGTTCGTTGCAATCATTCCGTAGGAGACCATCAACGCGCTGTACACGGAGATATTAAAAGAAGACGGCAAGGAAGCGGTGACAGTAAAGTTTGCACAGGCAGCAAAATATCTCGAGAAACATACTCGTCAGGTCATGACAGATCGGGAAAGTTTTAAAGGCACACCCGGCTACCCGCTCGTGTGCGCGTTTGAGGATAGTTGTAGGACGATATTGCCGTCAGGGCCCCCCACCCATGGCGAGCACGAGATGGAAATTATGCCAGGCACAGGTGCCGTATACAAGCCACAGTGGCGACTCAGTCCAGATCAAGAGCGAGCTCTACGCGAGTGGGTGAAGGAAATGCTTCGTGCTGGTTTAATCCGACCAAGCATATTGCCACACGGGGCACCGACTTTTTGCATTAAAAACCAGTACGTTGGCGCGTGGTACACGATTACAGAGCGATGAATGCCAGAACAATTCGGCAATCAACGCCCATGGCACGAAAAGGACGCGATTTTCGACCGAATGAGTGGATCATACTGGTACAGCTGCTTCGACTTACTCTCGGGGTACTATAGGATGAAGATGAGGACCAAGGATATACCGTTCACGGCGTTCCAGACCCCGGATGGACTGTTCGAATACATAGCTGTCCCCATGGGCCTCAGTAACGCGCCGGCAACATTCAACCGTATCGTACAGAGGATTTTCGAGGGCTTGCGAGATAACGTCGCCACTTATTTTGATGATATCTACGTTTTCACTAAGGAAACCGATGTCAATGCTCACTTAGCTGCGGTCCGACGGGTATACTAAAAATGTCGCGAGAAGAAGCTCTTCCTCAAGATATCAAAATCCACTATTTGCGCAGCAAAAATTTCCTGTGTTGAAGATTTTGTCGGGCGACAAGGTGTACGCATCGATCCGGACTGTAACGGGGTTACATGGTGTGGAGCACACAGGGGTATGAAGTACCCGGAGAGTTAACAAACTCTCAGTACATAAGTTGGAGAGTTAACAAGGTCTCTCAGTACGTTGGCTGAAAGCCACACGTTATGCATTTGATTAGGTTTAACTATGCTAGATAGTTAAAGAGATACATTTACCCCTAGGCGGCTTGGCCGCAATAATAGTAAATAAAACACTTCTGGTTTTGAAGCATAAAAGTTAAGGTGTTAACTTTGAGCCCTGGTCTTGGGCTGTAAGTGTCCTTTGGATAAGGAACTTAGTATCAGTGACTCTTTGAGTCGAACGTCTTCCTCTGACGCTAAAGCTACGGCAGCCCCGCTGCACTTGGTAGCACTGGTAGTCAATCCCGCTCCTGAGTCGGTTGACTATATCCTCTGCGAGGATGGAACACCCCGTGTTCGCGAATTTGCCCCCGGCGCAGCAGTACGCGCTTACTAAGCTTATGTCCTTGCTTGGCCCGGAGGGCGTGGCTCATCTTGCATCGCAAGGTCCAGAGGCGGTCACTGCCAGGCTGGAATCGTTCTCCCGCTACGAGAACGCGCTCTTGGAGCATGTCCAAGAGAAGATGAGCGCCGCAACGGCGGCGGCGTCGATGACGCGTGAAGAGTCCATGAGACTGAAACCGCTCATGGTGAGCGTAAAAACCTTCGAGGGGAAGGATGGAGAGAATCTCCTTCTCTGGACCCGTGAGGTCGAGATGGCCATGGGATCGGCCCTGCTCCAGTCTGAGCATCAGCGCGTGGCTCTGGCTATCTCCAGGCTTGGAGGTCGCGCTCGCGAATGGGCACTAACGTGCGGCACGTCTGTTGACGCTGCATTTCCCACTTGGGATCAGCTGAAGCAACAGCTTTCGCGCGTGTTCGCGCCGCCTAATCAGGCGTACCGTATCCGGTCAAAGTTCCTTGCTATCCGCCAGGGTAAGAAGGATTTATTGGACTATGTCCAAGAGTTGAGAACTCCTATCGCCGGAATGGCGGCGGACCCTCTTCCGGAACTGGTCAGCGTGACCGTGTTCATGGAGGGACTTCGTGTGAGCGCAGCTCGAACGGAAGTGTTCCGTGTACACCCTAACTCTTTTAAGGAGGCGGTGGATGTGGCATTGAATGCCGAGCACAGCTTCAGGTCGGCGCGACCTGGTTGAAGCACCTGGTATCGCAAGCTCTTCGAGCGGTCCAGAGCCGATGGACCTCAGCTATGCTGAAGATGAAGAAGCGGAGCTTCTTGCTGCGGAGCAGCGTGCCGGCATCCGCCGATGCTTTGTGTGCAATAGCACTAAGCACTTGAGGGCCTATTGCCCTCTGCGCAAGAAGCGCGAGGCTCCGGCGAGCCAACCCTCCGGGTCATCGCCGGGAAGGGCAACTCCCAGTAGGCGCGGGGCGGCCTACTGGGGAAGAACTGAGTTCTGTTGTGCCTCGAAGAGGTAGAGGGCAACGGGGCTCAGCCCCGAAGAGAGCTGAGCTCTCTTACGAGAAGAGTGTGTGCAAGCCGGGCTTGCTGGTCGTTCAAGCGAACGTGAAGGGCTTTGCAAAGCCATGGAGAGTCTTGATTGACTCGGGAGCATCGGGCAACTACGCCCGTCGCTCCACCCTGGAAGGGAGTCAGCTGTATGCTGAGGCACTGGAAGTGCCAACGAGAGATACGATCTCTGTCCGTCTCGCGACGGGGACACTGGTAACTGTGTCGAAGGTCTCTGTCAACCTTGGAGTGAAGTTTGAGAACTTCGATAGTGTGGAACGCTGTTCAATCTTAGACCTGGATGCGAGGTATGACCTCATCCTTGGCATGGCATGGCTGGAACGTCATGAGCCATGGATCGACTGGAAGTCGAAAACGCTGGGTGCGTCGCACCCTGCTCCTAGTGGAGCTTTGGTGAATCATGAACCCACCTCTGCTAGGAAGCAGAAGCGCTTTTGGCGCGAGCACGAGGCCGAGGCGGCCGTAGTGCTGGACATTGGTATGTCCGAAATTGTTAGCAACGAGGTTGCTGTTTGCCCTGAGGGCGTATGTGGTGCGGCACGTTATCCGCGGAGCGGTGCAGGTCAGGTCAATGACCAACTGCTGGGTCCTGGTGAGGACGAGCGCGGAGTGGCGCGTAATCCACTGAGTGGTATGAATCTGGTCGATGACCTACCGCTGCGTGACCCGAGGGTCGCGGTCGACTGCGAGTCGAGGCATCATGGGCGTGGCCCAGGAGATGCAGGTGAAGTGACACCTAGTTCACTGTGTGAAGGTCAAGAACCTCTTGGCTTTCAGCCGAGTGTCTTGCGAGACACTGTATCCTCTTCGAGGAGTGATGGTGCTGCTGCACCCGGTGGTGGTGACGGAGATGTCGCCACACCGCCCTCATCCGGCCGGGCTCGGTCGCGGAGGGAGAGGAGAAGAAGACGCAGGGCGTCTGTGACGTCTTCGACGTCGGACGATGTGTCCAACGTGACGAGCGGTGATGCTCCACGTGATTGCTGTGAACAGCTGTATACACTCGTGAACGGAGTGACGGGGGAGGTAGAAGGCGATATCAGCCTTGATACTCTGCCCGCTGCAGATGCTCTGCTAGAGCTGGACGAGATGTCCATTGCCGAGTTCGGCGAAGCCTTAAAGGCAGGCGAGCTAGCTGAGGTGGTCTTGCTGGGACCTGAGGAGGAGTTGAACTCCTCATCCGTCGTGGACGACGCGGTCCTAGAGGACACCAAGAAGGCGCTGAGCGCAAGAAGTGGATCGGCGGTCCTCAAAGATCCTTCGGATCCCTTCTACCCGGTGGTGAAGGAGTATGGAGACGTTGTCTCAAAAAACCCACCGACGGGCCTGCCTCCGGATCGAGGCGTGTGTCATGAGATTGATCTGGTTCCTGGAACCAAATACTGCGTAACAAGGCAATGGCGTTTGCCGAGAGAGCAGTGTGACGTCATTGACGCATTCTTCCGTGCGAAGCACGAGGCAGGAATGGTGCGTGAGAGTAAGTCTCCGCACTCGACACCCACGTTCTGTGTCAGAAAGCCGAACGGCAAGTGGCGCATAGTTCATGCTTTTAACAAGCTAAATGCGGCCACTATCCCGGCGCAAACGCCGATTCCTCGCAAGGATGTTCTGCAGAACAACATGGTAGGCTGTACGCTGTACAGCGCGCTCGACTTGGTCGATGGCTACTACCAATTGCTCATGAGAGCGAGCGACATTCCGCTGACAGCGGTGAGTACTCCGAGCGGTATGCTCTGGGAGTGGCTGGTGATGCCCCAGGGGCTGTCGAACGCACCAGCAACGTTCAATCGTCTTGTGACGCAGCTGTTTAGGCCCCACCGGGCGTACGCTCAAACGTACTTTGACGATATATTCGTCCATAGTCGTGCCGAGCACGGAAAGTCAGACGTGGATAACCACATTGACCA